AAACGGCAACGGCCACTCTTCACTATTCTGCAGCCCTTAGTAGCACAACCACCATTCTCACCAAACCACCACCACAAAATGCCACTGCAGTTGCCAATAAATTTATTAACTCTCTACGGAGTTTAAATTCTAAAAAGTACCCCGCAAAAGTCCCGTTGAAAATTGACCACAATCTTCTTTTCACTGTTGGCTTGGGCGTTAATCCTTGCCCTACTTGCAAGGCAGGTAATGGGAGCAGGGTTGTTGCGAGTATCAACAATGTCACATTTGTTATGCCAACTACCGCTCTTCTTCAAGCTCATTTCTTTAATATTAATGGTGTTTTTACTACTGATTTTCCTGCCAATCCGCCTCATGTTTTTAATTTCACTGGAAAAGGGCCTGCAAATTTGCAAACCAAAAATGGAACTAGGGTTTATAAGTTGAAGTACAACGAGACAGTTCAACTTGTTATGCAAGATACTGGAATTATAGCTCCTGAGAACCATCCTGTTCACTTGCATGGATTCAATTTCTTTGCGGTTGGTAGAGGAATTGGGAGCTATAACCCAAAAACTGACCCTCAGAATTTTAATCTTGTCGATCCTCCTGAGAGAAATACCATTGGAGTTCCAACTGGTGGATGGGTCGCCATAAGATTCCGTGCAGATAATCCTGGTGAATTTCTAAAATTCTACTTTCCGTCCATTTTTTTATAATGATATGCTATACATTCTTGAAAACTAATTAACAAATTCAATTTTGGTTTCTTTTGTTGTATTAGGAGTATGGTTCATGCATTGCCATCTTGAAGTACACACGACATGGGGACTTAAGATGGCGTTCTTGGTGGAGAATGGAAAAGGCCCTAATGAATCGCTCTTACCACCTCCAAGTGATCTTCCCAAATGTTAAATCGGCAATGCATTTCATATATATAAATATGTATATTTAGAGAAGAGAGCATATGAGGAAAGAGAAAGACATTGAAAAGGAAAGAACAAAGAAATTGAGATTTATATATACAAAGATCCTATTTGTTTCTTGAGTAAATAAAAAAATTTGCTCAAGGAGTTCGAAAAAAATTGTAAGAGCATTTTGATGATTATTAAAAATGAAATAGAAATGAAAATTTTTTATTACATGAATTTTTATACATATTGAAAGTTGAATTGTTAACTTGTTTTTTCTTTGTTTTAACTTTTCTTTTTTCCTGTTGAATGACAACTAATTTCTTTCTAGCCGAAAACAATTAATTCCTTAAAATATTAAAGGATAACTTTTTTTTTAGCCAAATAATTATTTGTGATGGGGATAAACACGATAACAGATATGAGAGGGAAAAAAAATATAAATTTCTACTGAGAAAATATATAAAAAAATATAGGTTTCATTCAATAGAACTCATTTTTAAATTACAATCCATCCATTATTTATGTGCATGACACAGAGTTTCGCATAGGTAAATTTTCTCTGCTTTAAAAAGTTGGGCTTCTTCATTTGGGAGAAAAAAGGGAGTGAGGCGATTAAGGTTTAAGTTTTTAGTAAATGTCATAAAATATTAAATATTAAAAAACTAATATATTTGATAAAAATAAAATAAAAATATCTAAAGTAACCTCAAATAACATGAAACTAACATATTTGGTCAAAAAGTAAACAGAAACACAGGGAAACAATAAATTTGTAAAAGCAAATCCCTATACAATTTATGTGATTCAACACTGAAGATGATGATCGGCGATGACAATTGTATCAGTATCAATCCAAATAATCCAAACAGAATCGAGAGTCATACATTATCTATACAGAGCATAAATAACATCTATGACAGTAAAAATTTTTCAGCAAAAATTAAGTCACTCATATAAAAATGAAATCGCAGAAGAGAAATAGAATCAAAAAAAATAAAAAAAAAACCGTGGAACAATGCCAATAATGAGAAGAATAATTAACGGCTGAAAATAATAAGAGCAAAGAGAGAAATAACGATAAGAAAATAATGGAGGCTGCAAAAAGACGGCAGCAGAAAAAGAATATAGAAGTTAATAAAAAAAAGAAACACTAAACAATTAAAACACTGATAATTAGGAAATTAATGAAAAAGGAAACACTAAATTAAAACACAAACGTCTAACAAAATAAAAACAAAAAGTATAAAAATTAAAACAAACCCAAACTAACAATAATTTAAACTGAAAAGTCTAACCAGCAATCTCTGACCATAGTTTAAAAAATGTGACATCCATTAGAATTACCAAAAAAAAAAAAACAGTTGAGAGTTTTAAATTTATTCTTCAAAAGATATATGGGAACCCAAAACAGGCTAAAATCATGATCCAAAGAATGAAACATGGAAATTAGGCCCATTGGACGTATAGCTATTGTGTCTGTCTAAGTTGGATTTATTTGATAATTATTTATATTATATCTCAATTCAACAAATTTTGATTCAACAGTCTCAGGTATCTGAATTTCAATTGGACAGTTTTATCTGTCAACTGTCTTAAATTTGTTTCAACAATTCTGAAAGTCTCAATTTCAGTTCAATAATTACCATCTTGAGTTTTAGTGGGGATGTTAGAATATTATTCTAAAATATTTTTTATATTCCTTATTTAGTTTAGTTTAGTTATTCAATAACTACATCTATCAATTTAGCAAAACTCAAGCTTCATTTCGCTATTTAGGTTTGTATTATATTTTTGTTATTTAGCTGAGAATATTGTCTTTTTTTATAAATAGTAAAGTCTTATATTTTATTTCTATCATGAAAGTGAAATTATTTAAATATTAATTTAATTTAATTGATGCATAATTAATTAATTTAATTAATATATTAGTCACTCTTTTTTTTTCTAAGGTTTAAATTCTCCGCCCTCCGTTTTCATATATATATGATAATATGAAGTTTAAATTCTAAAAATATTAATAAAAAAACTAAAAAGCAATTATAATTAATTACTTGGAGGGACTCAAATTGAAATTATTAGGAGTGGTCAAACTTCGGTAATCACCGATTTACTGCGCCGAACTGAAATTATTCGGTAAAAATGACACGGTACATCGGTAAACGGTCAATAAATTTTCAGACAAAATTCAGTAAACGGCCGTAAATATCTTTTTTTAATTTTTTTAAAGAAAAAATAATTTATAAATTGATCAATTCAGTAAACAGTAAAATTATATTAGTAAATCGATAAATCGATAATGATAAATTCGATTATATATAAATTGATTAGTAAACGATAAATATTCAATCGATAAATTGAAAAACGAAAATTTAATAAACGATTAACCAAACCAACTAAATATACACCCTATAAAATATACATTCAAACTACATTGACAATGATGCTTCACTTTGACATTCTTCCAAAGCTAACTAAAAGAAGCAAACAAGAGAAACATGACAAACCCACATTAACTTTTTATTGTTTTTTCAAAAAATAATAATTAAAAAAAAAACCTGAACTGCCATAAATTATTTAATTTTAGTATATTGGACCCATTCACATCCTCACTTCCAAGCAACATATAAATATTTTAGTATGTTAACATTTCACACCTTACCAAACTATCCACAGTATTTTGCCTAACCAATTTCATGTATTATATTAGTTTCATACTTTTGAATCCACTTAAATTAAAGATTCATGATTTGTATAGAAGATGTTACCTAAAAAGAAGAATTAGAACCTCATGCTTGAGGGTGAAATTATCTGGAAAAAAATCACTTATCTCAAGAAAATTAGAGAAGTAAAAAAAACATATGTTGAGTTATAAAAATTTTAGAAGAGAGCTTTTTTCTAAAATTATATAAAAAAAGGATGATTAAAAACATTTTTTAATAAAAAAATTAACTAATTAATAAGAAAATATTTTCATAAATATGGTGTATTACAAAATGAAAAGTCATTGTTTGAAAATTAATTAGCATTTCCCTAGGATGTTGGAACACAATAATGTCTAAATCTTTCAAGAAACATGTAAATTAATAATGTTAGAAGATGGCTTCCACTAATACCTTTGTTCTTGTCACATTTAGAATTTTATCGTTGCTTAAAAAAATTATTAAATTTATCTAGATTACAATGAATTATTGACTAAGTTGACTATATTACCTTTAATTTAATATATCCAAACACCAAAATTAAATTTTAGACTCTTCAATTTTCATGTTTTGTCCAATTATAGTGGTGGAGAGATTTTGGAAACACATATACAAAGGGTGTACATGGGAAAAAAGAATTTATTACTCCTCAAAATCACAAATGTGATAAGTATTTTGAAATAAGCTATTTTTTCAAATATGACAAGTATTATAGAACGAAAGTAGTAATTATTAGTAATTATAGGTAAATTTAATTGATTATCTATAAAGGAGTAAATGACTATTAAACCTTTTCAAGGACTTTTGCATGTAATCCTATTGGATAAATGCTAAACCTTATGTCACTTTCATTACCAGAAAAGACTAAAATAGGCAACTTAATTTACATTAGTCAACTGGCTATTATGATTGAAAAATGAAAATTGTTGCTAAAAAGTACTAATTACATTTAGTCTAGATGTTTAATTAATGCAAAGCTCTTTCCTGTTTTTTAATAAACTGTAAATTTTTTGAGGTAGGAATTTTATCGATATTATATAAAATTTTAAATTTTTGGCATTATAAGATAAATATTTCAATTTTTTAATTATATGAAAACATTTTAAAGTGACAATTTCCACGATTAAGTACCTACAAATTAAGGTTTTACACACGGCAAATTCCCAGTTAAGAATTAAATTAGTTGAGAGTGGGTGTGGGAAGGCCTTGATAATTTAGTTCTAAATCTACATTGGTCCTTAAGGAACAAAAACATTATGTAACATGTAAGAAAAGAATTAGAGCTTAAAATCTTGTTTTTGAAGAGTCCACTAACCCACCTAACATAGCAAAAACGACATTGTAGCAATTCCCTTATCACCCTATTCCCCTTATAAAGCTTGAGTTAGCTAGTCATAGATGACTGCAACAAGCCTAAAAAACAACAAGCAGGCCAACACCAAGATTTACGTTCTGATAAAGACAAACAAAGAAAAAGAAAACAAGAAACCAAATGGAAGAATCCTCATTTCGTTTATTCGTGCTGTTGGCTTTCCTTCTTCTCTCAACCGCTTTTGTCGAATGCAAGGTTCGACGTTACACGTTCAAGGTAAAGTTTAAATTATATATATATATATATATATGAACATGCATTTAGATTCTTTTATTGTATATAAGTGTATGATGTACATACTTTTATTTAAAAAAGTTATCGTTTAAGATCAACGTGAATGATTCAATTCATATTTTATAATGTAAAATTTAGAAAATAAATCACTGATAAAATTTAACCGGTTATTAGTAATAAGATTATATTGAAGACTGTAATTATTAATTAACCTTATAATCCACTCTTTAAATATTCCAAAATTAATTGCGAGATTAATTTAATTAACATTGTACACAGGTGGTGATGAAAAATACTACAAGATTATGCTCGAGCAAGCCAATTGTCACAGTGAATGGGAAATTTCCAGGACCAACTCTTTATGCCAGGGAAGATGATACAGTTCTTGTCAGGGTAGTCAACAAGGTCAAATATAATGTTTCCATTCATTGGTAAGAGTTGTCATTTGTAAAAACAGATTATTACATGTGATATTTGGATTTAAATTTATTATGTTATTATTTCATTTTTACAGGCATGGCATTAGACAATTGCGAACTGGATGGGCAGATGGGCCTGCATATATTACGCAGTGCCCTATTCAACCGGGGCAAAATTATGTATACAATTTCACCATTACAGGGCAAAGAGGAACACTTCTTTGGCATGCACACATTCTTTGGCTAAGGTCCACTGTCCATGGCGGCCTTGTTATCTTGCCTAAGCGTGGCGTTCCTTACCCATTCCCAGCTCCCCATAAGGAAGTGGTGGTTGTATTAGGTAACTTCGAAAAAAAAAAAACACTCCCAAAGTTTTACTCTTAATTCTGTAATAAAATTTTGATACTAATTAAATTTTTGAAATGAACTTCAGCTGAATGGTGGAAATCAGACGCTGAAGCTGTAATCAATGAAGCTCTAAAGTCTGGATTAGCACCTAATGTCTCTGATGCCCACACTATCAATGGACATCCTGGGGCTGTTACCAATTGTCCTTCCCAAGGTATTTAAAAAAAAAAAATCAAACATTAATAATTAATTTACATATATTTGAGGTAGTGCGACAGGCCTCATTGAATTGAATTAATTAAATAAAATCTTTTGCAGACGGCTTGAATTTGCCAGTAGAAAGTGGCAAGACGTACCTGCTAAGACTAGTCAATGCTGCACTCAATGAAGAGCTCTTCTTCAAAATTGCAGGGCACCAACTTACAGTTGTAGAAGTTGATGCCAGTTACGTAAAACCCTTTAAAACAGATACAGTGCTAATTGCTCCAGGCCAGACCACCAATGTTCTCATCACAGCTGATCAAAACTCCGGCAAATACTTAGTAGCAGCAGCACCGTTCATGGACGCACCAGTTGCAGTTGATAATAAAACGGCGACCGCCACCCTTCACTATTCCGGCGCGCTTAGTAGCACATCCACCATTCTCACCAAACCACCCCCCCAAAATGCCACCTCTATCGCTAATAAGTTTACTAATTCCTTACGTAGTTTAAATTCTAAAACATACCCTGCAAAGGTCCCATTGAAAATTGACCATAATCTTCTTTTTACTGTTGGTTTGGGCGTTAACCCTTGCCTCACTTGCAAGGCAGCCAACGGTAGTAGGGTTGTTGCGAGTATCAACAATGTCACATTTGTTATGCCAACTACTGCTCTTCTTCAAGCTCATTTCTTTAATATTAATGGGGTTTTTACTACCGATTTTCCTGCGAACCCACCTCATGTTTTTAATTTTACTGGAAAAGGGCCTGCAAATTTGCAAACAAAAAATGGAACTAAGGTTTATAGGTTGAAGTACAACGAGACAGTTCAGCTTGTTATGCAAGATACTGGAATTATAGCTCCTGAGAACCATCCTGTTCACTTGCATGGATTCAATTTCTTCGCCATTGGTAGAGGAACTGGGAACTATAACCCAAAAACTGATCCTCAGAATTTTAATCTTGTTGATCCTCCTGAGAGAAATACGGTCGGAGTTCCTACTGGTGGATGGGTCGCCATAAGATTTCGTGCAGATAATCCTGGTAAATTTCTAAGTTTCTACTTTCCGCCCATTCTATAAAATGATAGAAACAATATAGTTTGATGATACACATTCTTGAAAACTAATTAACAAATTCAATTTTGGTTTCTTTTGTTACATTAGGAGTATGGTTCATGCATTGCCATCTAGAAATACACACGACATGGGGACTTAAGATGGCGTTCTTGGTGGAGAATGGGAAAGGCCCTAATGAGTCACTCTTACCACCTCCAAGTGATCTTCCCAAATGTTAAATCGGCTAAATATTTCATACACATAATTACAGGAAAAGTGACAATATGCGGAAAGAGAGAGGAAAGAAAACAAAAAGAAATTGAGACTTTCATATATATGAAGGTCCTATTTGTTTCTTGAGTAAATTTAAAAAAAAAAAAATTTGCTCAAGCAAATTTGAATAAAATTGTAAGAGCATTTTGATGATCTTATTAATAAAAAAATGAAATCAAATGAATTTTTATGCGTCAAAAGTTGAATGGTTAACAATTGCGCTCTGTTCAGCAAGAGCGTTTGAAGGAATGTTTAGAGTTTTGACTACCTTAAAACACTGCTTTGATGTATTACATTCTTTGCTGAGGTAGTTTACAAAAAAGTTTTCAATGGATAACATAGGATTTAGTGAAACGCGTTTCACTTTTTTTTATTGAAAATTTATTAACAGTCTTGCCTTTAATTTAAAACTCTTTTTATTATTTCAATAACTGAGTGAATCCCTTTCTCAATTAGCTAAATGTCAAGAAATAATTAAACTGTTCAAAACCTGATTGCTATGATACTGCAACAATATCTCCTTTTATATAGCTTGACTATACACTATAAATTGATATTCTTTTGATAAAAAATTAATAACACATCACAAAATCATCTCTTTTTTTTATTATTATATTGAGTTCACTTCTACGGTCATAATTTAAAATTCTAACTGAATACTCAAATGTCTTTTTTTATCATTTTAAATTCAACGGCTAATCAAACAGTTATTTTCACCGAACATTTTTGCTCCAAATAATAATATGAACAACTAACAGCTAACAGCTACTAAAACAACTATCAGTGCGGAAACAAATGGAATATTGCTTATTGACTTGTAATAGTCATCCCATCAATTTTGTAATAAACGTAAATTCTCTAATGATTTTGGAATTACTCCAAAAAAAAAGTTAAAGAAAGTTTTCTTTTGCCAACTAATTATATGCAATGGGTATATACTATATACATTGCATTAATATGATGGATAATAATTTATAAGGACTACTAATATGATAATAATAGGTGAAGGAAAAAATATAAAATAGAAATTAGTATTTTTTTTTATTATTTATTTATTTCAATAAACTCGTTTTTAAAAGTATGACTTATTCATTAGTTGAGTGCCCGAGACAAAGAATGGGAGTTAGGCCCATTGTAACTGGGCTGTGTTGAATAAATTTGCAAACATGTAAAGCCCGAAATGGCTTTCCAATCCGTACCGTCATTTTGGAGGATGTGGTTGCAGCCTGTAGTACGTGTCCGTCAATTGCTTTTTAAGTACTTGATCAGAACACTGAACACTGTTTTTCAAAGCATTCGGTAATATAGCTTTTAGAGTTTAAGGTATCATTTTATAAAAAGTTAATTTATATAACGCTTTTTTTTAAGATAATATTAGGATTTCATTAAAAAAAACTTCAAATCAATACAATATTACAGGCAAGACATGTCCCCTCTCCTAAAAACTAGACATAGAATAAAAACTATAAAATAATTATTGTTTCCTGATCTAATAAGAAATCATAATAAAAAATAGAAGGTGAACTTGAAGAAAATAGATAGATTTTCAAAAGTGGTTGATTAGATGAACTCCTTGAATCTTCTATACAGTGCGTAATTATCTATGAATTAGTTGCTTATTACGAACATAGAGGATTTGAATTATTAAATCCAATGGAGGAACAAACCGCACTACCAGACTCCAAAAGATGAAAATCATTGTATAGTTGAAAAATTCTCTATAAATTGCAACATATCCAAATAAACCAAACAAATGCAAACAACAAAACAAAACTCCACGTAAAATAGAGAGATCATAAACTCCACACAAGATGAAGATAAAACACAAAAAGTAGCAGAAACATAAATAACATGAATCTATATCAGAATATACATAGATCTGTAATTTATTTAACAAAAAACATAAAATTTGCAACAAAAATTAAAAGTATACTAAAAATATGAGAAGGGACTGTCACAAGAGACAAAAATTAACCTCTCCCCGTATCTACATGCTTGATTTTGTGTTTCAATAGAGAGAGGAAAATAAAATTTTAATGGCAATTCATATAACGTTTAGCTTTTAGCATTTTATAAAAAGTTACTAAAATAGTTAAATACTACTAAAACAACTAATAACTTTTAAAACAGTTAATTTTACTGAATAGATATATAACGTGCAAAGGTGATAGATGGAGGAATATTGTGCCCTCCAAAATATTGTGATGTTTGGATTAAAGCACTTTTAAGAATTCAATTGAGAGAACATGTTGACAATTGAGACAAGTGGAAGGGAAGAATAAAAAAGAAAATATAAGGAGTAATTTTAAGTTATGTGATAGAATTAATTTTTGTGCAGTGATCTAGTTTTTCTTCTTACTAATGTAATTAGTGGGAGATCTTGAACTTGATTTCTTTTGACCATATGAGTTTTCAACCCATTGAATCTCCAAAATAAATAAAAAATAATAGATTTCTATAATTAGTGAATGAAATTGTATATTATGAAAGAATAAAAATAAAATATGATTGGTTATTTTAATTTATATAATGGAATAAGGGACTTTGACTTTTTCTAAATTTTAAGAAATTAGTAGACAACTAAGTAAAGTCTATTTTCAAAAAATAATTTCTATAATTAGTGAATGAAATTGTAGATTATGGAAATATTTGTTTTCTTTAGTGATCTTCCTATAGGTTATGTAACTTAATAAATTATATGATTCAGATTTGCTCAATAACCCATTCAATTTTCTTTATATATATATATATATATATTTGATATTGTTATTCTTTTTCTTAAAAAAGAAGTCCACTAAAATTTTAGGGATCAATTCAGATTTCTCAAATCAAGGCAAATGATGTTGAAGGTAACTTTTATGAAATTTTTCACTTTTATGCGATGAAGCATTCATAAATTTAACATGTTAAAACTTAATAATTAGGAAACCTCTTAGGAATGTTTAAATTATTTTTTTCAATTTTATAATTTAGCATGTATAATTATAAATAAATGAAATTGTTGAAATACTTTTTGTTTGTCAAACAATGGTCATTCCTTCTAACATAAGACAACACAACTAATATTAAATTTCATTGCACAAGAGATCAGCAAATAGATAATAAACAAAAATCAAATGATACTAATCTGATTTTAACTCTCCAATCACAAGGGGCCAATAATTAGAAAGATAAGTTAGTATTTATTTCTCTCATGTTTGACAAAAATTCATTGGTAAAGATTTCTATTTTCAAATTGGATGGGTAGAGATGAATAATTTATTTTTTATTTATATTAGAAAAGTGAATTTATTTTAATATATAAAAGTAATGTTATGATATAACTTTATTATTAAATAAATAAATAAATAAATGTGCATGTATCATTTTCATTGACTTGAACCTAGAATATCAATCTCTTATAAGAATTTGACAATTAGATTGCACTCAAATTTGAAGATTCTTTACCAAAGACTCTTTTGAATTTCTAATTCATTTTCCCTTTTTCTATTAAAAACAATTGCTTTAATAGAATAAGAATTAATACCAATTCTATGGAAAGGCAAATCAAATGAGATTTCATTCTCTTTGGAAAGAAGGATAGTCTATTGAATTCAATTAGTTGCAATAGTGCTTTTATTAATTTTTTTTTTAATGAACCAAATGAGTATCTTTAAGTTAGAAATAAATTTTGATCACGTTGGATCAGTCTATTAAGAGATAAACCACTCCCGACGAGGGAGAAAAATATTATAAATGAACCTCGTTATATTAAAATTAACACTTAAGTTCCATTACTTAAAAAAAAAAATATCACGTCATTAATGTTCGATGATGAATAAAAATATATCTTTATTCAAGAATCTCGAAAATGGTGAATGAAAATGCTTAAAATGGTGAAGAATGTAAATGGTTATGGATTAAAGGTATATGGTTCTTAACTTTGTTTATCAGCATCAAAAGGGTTAGAGTTGACCTTTTGGATTAATTTATCTATTGAACTTATATAAAATGATTAAAAAGATCTGGTTTCACTTTTTAGTTTAATTTAATCCTTAAATTTATTTAAAATAATTAAAAAATTATATTTGACATTTTGAGTCAATTTAACTTCTAATTTTTTATTATACTCATAATGTGAAAAAAGAAATTCACTTTTTGAATGAAACGACTTAAATTGAGACAGATGTAAAATTAAGAACCCCGTACTCAAAGTTAGTTTTCAAAAGTTAATATTTGAAAATAGCAACATATTTGTATTAATTTTTATATAATCAAGGATACAAAGTATCTTTTTCAAAAAATTATTATTATTATGTCTCATTTGAGAAATTGGGGGCGGTGGGCCCTAATATTCAAGGTAGATATAATGCTCCTACCTACACCAGATCTAATCAGACGTAGGTAAGTTTTATCTGGGTAACCTGGAGCCCCCACCCCGCCAGGCGCCAGCAAGCAGGCGGGCGTGCAAACTCGGTAGGGGACCCCCACGAGGGTGTCCATTACTTTCATACCATCGAATTTCGTGTGAGATGTCGTTTTATAGCACGCACTAATTTTGATTACATTTTTTTTTTTTTTTTGTAGCTAATAAACAAATCTAACAATTCCTTAAATAAATAACTACTCCCTGCTCCAGGCTCCACCAAATAATGTCAAACCACTGAGCAACTCATTAGAAAAATAAATACTCATATTTAATTAACATAAATCACTATTTCTAAAGGTAGAAATTAGGAATCTAATTATATATTTCTAAAAATGTATGTGTAATATGGAATTCTTTTGTCCGCTACCCTAAAAAGACTCTTTCAATAGAAAGTGGTTGTCCATTTTTTATTTGATGATTAGTACCAAAAAATTCCATATTTTCATTCATATTGCACATTAATCCAATTGAAATTAGATTTGTTTGGTTATTTTTGTATATTATTTTATTGGTTAGTTTGTAAATTTAATTTCTGATTTTGTATAGCTATTGAGATTAAGATTTTTTTTTTTTTGAAAAAATTATGATTTTACCTCTGTATTTTATTTTATCTCTGATTTTTTCACTTAACTTTTTCAGGTTAGGTTCGAGTGTTTTGGAGAGTATGTCGGCTCGGGTTAGATTATTTCGATAAGTTAAATTTTTCCTGATATGTTTTATTATAATAAAATAAATTAATTTCGCTGATAAAAAAAATTATTCATGCAATTTTAGAA